TGTTTTTTTTACAAATGTAATTGAAATGGTGTTTTTTTCAGTTGACAGTTCTCCAAGCTCAATCAAATTATTAATTAATTTGGATGTCAGCAATTTGCAAGGAGTATGATGCTTCCAAATATATAGGGTCACATTTGATAAGCTGGTCATTGTGTTGCCTGCCCCCGGGGATTGTGGGATTGATGGCCAATGGTGAGGAGATGCTGGGTTTCAGCTATCTGTGGATAATGTATTTTGGTTCCACTTCACAATAAGGCTCCCTTTGCTACTTGTAAATGGTAGTAACTCATTATTAAAATGAAAACTGTGTTATAACTTGTTTAAAATTGTCCATGAATAATTTACAAAGTGTTACAACCTAATTAATAGCCAGATCATAAACCATTCGTTCGTAAACTCTTTATGTGGGGAGTCTTATTGTACAGTAGTACCTGTATTTTTAAGACAACTGTAGCTCTCAAGCTTAACACACTGCCCAACTCATAAAGTCCAGTCCTGACTGTTCCCAGCCAGGTTAGAATACGCCGGAGGAAGTTACCCTGGGCTCACAGAGCGCGATTATGAATGCCCCCCCTGCCAGAATATTTTCATTCCAACCCTACCTTAATCAGGCGTATATGGTCTTTAATAGGCTAATAATGTGGAGGCTGAAAGTACTGTGGGCCTCGATACTGGGTACTGCGGCAGCAGGAGGGCAAGAACACGACTGAGAAGCACCAGTATAGAGTGGAAGATGGCCACTTGTATGCCATTAGGTGGGAGAAAGAGGCCCACCTCACCTCAGAATGGTCTCTTCCCAGTTGCTCATCTCTAGCCCCTGCCCACTATAGTCCATATGGCTTCTGTATCTGTGTGTTTTGAATCACTTAGACCTCTAACACTGGCATGTACCTCATTGATCGTCAGACAAAGTCTTGCCCTGTACAACAGATAAATCATTTAGGCTGAACCAGAGACAGGCCATCGATGGACCTTGATCGGCAGCTGGGTGCTTTCCGAAATCGTAGCCGTAGAGAAAAAAGAAAAACAGCTGCAGTAATGGCATGACCCTCAATCCGCATTGCTTTGTGCTGAGTGATGGAGCAGAACACCCATGTGAAAGGGTATCTCCTTAGCCCAGAAAGCAGTTTAGCTCTGTTTTCTTCCCCGGATTCAGCCTGTCAGAGTTAACCCGTTTTTCATGGGACAGGAGTCTTTGTAAACAGCCGAGACTGTCAAGCAATAGTGTTTTCCAGCATTTCTGTGAGTTTCAGCCGCACTCAGAATAGAACCTGCCTGCCCTTGGAGCCAGTCCGCGATGCACTATTCCTAATAGGAATGTAACATGTGAGGCTCCTAATGCTTCCTAGTAAATGTCATAGAAGTAAAAGGGGCATTTTCAGTCTTACATGACTTTCTTATGTAATTTGGTACAGAGAATAGTCTAAAAGTGGAATTTGAGAATTGCAAGATTACTGAAGCAGTATTCTTTTTTTAATCAGGATGAGTAAACGACATAAAAGTCCAAAGTGGAGTATATCATTTGGTTAGCAGTAGGAAGCAATAGCAGACTTTAGCCACGGATCATTTGTTTGAACACGAAGAAACTAAGATGTGTTTACCTTGTTTACCTTGTCTGGTTAGTTAATTATTGTAGAGATAATCTTCATGAATTTGTAATTAACCTAGTTTTTAAACACAAAGCATTAATGCATGGTGATATAATGTGAAATTTCTGAGACCTCGAAGCCATTGGTGAAGCATGCATTTCGCTGTAGTTGAGCTCTTAAGCTCCAAGACGTCCGTGTTTATTCTTTCAGTCCTCATCAGCCTTCTTATTTGCGGTACATCCCTTTCGCACGTCTTTTACTGGGTACCAGAATACCGCAGCCATGTAAAACACACATCCTGTGAAACAAGATGAGACCCTGAAGCAGACCCAACAAAACAAATACCTCTTTGCAGAAAGGAGAGGATGAGGGAGCGTCAAGAGGGAGGAATGTGGAGGCTAAGGGAGAGTGCGGTAATTGGTTTCTGACTCCCAGAGCCCACTGTTTAATTGCATTCTGCTCGCAGCGTAATGTGCAGGAGTGGGATCGTAAGCCGCTTGAGCTTGGCTCATTGTGAGGGAGGCGTGGCGGGCCGTCTCGTGGGGGCGAGTCATGTTAGCGACAAGATGGCGATAGCTTGCTCTCCCAGCATGGGGGCCGGGGCTATGTGGCGGGAAGGGTAGCTAGGCACAGCGACGGCGGAAAGACGAGAAAACCAGGAAGCGGCTGCATTTCCCAGCCTTTAGCTTTTGGCTTTTGCTACATTTTCATCACTCATGGAATAGCGTGATGTTAAAAGTGTGAATACTTGCATTTATCATTTTTAACTAATAGTATTAAAGGCCTGGACAGGATACCTGGTGTCAGAAAAGGTCACAGCTTGCACACTTACAGGTTTATCAGGTTTCTGTTATTTCACAGTGATCAGCACAGTTCATGCGGTCGGCTTAGCGTTTGTAGCGGGCAGCCGCTAACAATGGGCTGAATGGCAAATGAGCCCCAAGGAGCAGAAGCTGTGTTTGTCTGAGGAGGAAGGAGGGAGGACTGACTGAGTGAGAGAGGGGGAGAGAGAGAGAGCGAGAACGAGAGCAAGTGCAAAATGGCCACTGGAGAACTGCGAGCATCCAGGCCCATTTTCTGTATGCTGAGGTCTGCTGGCACTGGATGCCAGAGTGTGACAGCACCCCGACAATGATTCAATTTGCTGGGCCTATTTCTGCTTGATCCTCCTCTGGTGCTGCTGTGTCAGACGCCCAAGGAATCCTGTCAGCTCTCTGACTGGTCCACGAGCCACGTCTGCGGCTCGCCACAAACCAGCAACCTTCCCGAATCCAAAACACCCTGCCGTGCTTTCAGAACACCACAGCCCCATTTCTATGGACTTGTATGGATGAACATGATACTCTAGGTTCATTTGCATTATGCCTTACAACCTATACGCTGCAAGGAGAACTGAAGGCCATCTGGGTTATATTGCAACACAAATACTCGATGTCCAGTTATATTCCCCAGATGGCAGCACTTTTTGAACACTTAAGAGATGGTGTTTTTGGAGCTGGTTCCTGCCCCCTGAAGTTTCATTAAAATAAGCCCATGACCCCGTTTCTCATTTTGCAGCTTGTGGTAAGCTAACGGGAATAAGCGAGCCGGTTACCATCAAAACGTCCGGATCGAGGTTTGGCTCTTGGATGACGGACCCTCTGGCACCTGAGGGAGACACCAGGGTAGGTGAACGGCTGTCATTCTTCACAATGTGCACATTCTGCCTGACACTGCCGACCACGCGGTGAACTTTCTCCAACACCCAGAATCTGTCAGCGATTCATTGATGTTCCGTAGCGGAAATAAACGCTGGTGGCTTCAGGCTCATGCAAAATGCAAAGCGCGGTGTGCGATGTGTTTATCAGAGTGTTATCGGAATGGATCGAGCTGCATTATACCTTCCATCTGGCTGTTTGCTGGTTCACTGGGGATTATCTTCATGGTGGAAAACAGGCATTTCATCACTAAAATACATTAATGTGCAAATAGCAGGTATAAATCATTTCACTTATTGCTGATGCCTGAACAGAAGTCGTTAATGAAGGGGATTCTAGTCTGGTCAGACAGACATCACATGACTGAGTTGATTCACATGTCAGTGAAGCGTTTGAAATGTTCAGTTGAACAGAGCTTAATTGCACTTTTAACTTGTCTGTTGAACTAACTTCTGTATAATACCACACTTGGAAAGTCTTATTGTATAATTGGCATTTTGCAGGCTGTTTAATAAACATTGCCAGTTCGTATGCAATGAATCCAAAATTTGTCAGTTGTTGTAATCATTTGTGAGCCATACATTCCACATGGAACACACTGTACTGTGTATGAAGAGAAGTGTGATCTGTATCTGGCATGAAGCACAAAACTACGCAGTCCAGGCGAGGCAGTGATGCCTGTCACAGGGTAGCCAGCTTATTTCATTCATGACAAAGATACATGATTTATCATCTGGTACGCTCCTGGCCCTCTGAGTGTGGCTCGTAGATCAATCGTATCTGATATAGCAAGTGAAAGTATTTTTTTATTACTGTGTAAAACACTACAGGGTTGGGCCTTCTGTCTTCATTTTGCTGACAACATGAATCTCTGGAAGTCTGAGATCTTGATAATGAGCTAACAAGACAAGAAACGCAAGTTAATCCTTTATTACAGGATAACATTGAGATTTTCAGTACTTTAATAAGTGTATTATTTGAATGCAGCAATTAATGTACAACAAGATTTACTAATTATACATACTTTGTCATTTTACAGAGTTGCATATTAAAATAATGCTGGCAATTTTATTATAAACAAGTGATACATGTATATATTTACGTTCTTTTATCCATTATAGGTCTGGTACATGGACGGCTACCACAACAACCGCTTTGTACGGGAATACAGGTCAATGGCCGACTTCATGACGTCTGACAATTTCACTTCGCATCGCCTCCCTCATCCCTGGTCCGGTACAGGCCAAGTTGTCTACAACGGCTCCATCTACTTCAACAAGTTTCAGAGTCACATCATCATCAAGTACGACTTCAAGACCTCCTCGATCAGCAAGTCACGCCCCCTGGAGTACGCTGGCTACAATAACATGTATCATTACTCGTGGGGTGGCCACTCCGACATCGACCTGATGGTGGACGAGGGAGGCCTCTGGGCCGTGTATGCCACCAATCAGAACGCGGGGAACATCGTCATCAGCAAGCTGAATCCCAACACCCTGAATATTATCAAGAGCTGGACCACCAACCATCCCAAGAGGAGCGCTGGGGAGGCGTTCATGATCTGTGGCACGCTCTACGTCACCAACGGCTACTCTGGGGGGACTAAGGTTTACTATGCCTTCCACACCAACTCGTCCACTTATGAGTACATCGACATACCTTTCCAGAACAAGTATTCACACATCTCCATGTTGGACTACAACCCCAAGGACCGAGTCCTCTATGCATGGAACAACGGTCACCAGGTGCTGTACAACATCACCTTGTTCCATGTCATCCGCTCTGATGAGTTGTAGATGCTCAGTAAAAGACCTTCTGTATCACATGATGCTTAAGCGTGGTGGATGCGCTACACTACAGAGAAGTAGGATGACGTCATAAAAAAAAAAACTATTTACAGAAGTGTAGTATGTATAGAGTGAATATAGAAAATAAGGACAAGATAAAAGGTCACGCCTTTTTTAAAAAAAAGCAAATACTAACCTATGGGATTCTTACGGTCTGTGGAGGGTGTTCCCGGAGCGTTACCTCTTCGCGATCTTTGTATCGCACATTAATTGTGGAGGCTGGTATTTGGAAGTGGAATGTTCTTGCTCCAGGTGGGTAGAGTGATGAGTCATGTGGCTAGAAGAATATAATATCAAGAATGCAATCCCATCATATACTTTTTATCAATAATATAATATATATAAATATATATATATATATATATACATAAACATCTGTTAAAAAAATGAAGGCATTGACTGTTGGAAGCACCATGATTTAAAATTCTAGTCTCTGTGATTGTATGTGGATCTCTGCTTTTACCTACTTTCTTTTGCATGGGCTTTTATATCACCAGGGTCCACACTTATGGGTGTATTTTGCTATTTGATTCTGTATAACTAAAAGGGGCTAGTTTAGGAGTATGGTGAAAAACATCATCATTTATTTATTTATTTATTTATTTCCCCCCCCTCATTCTCGTCTTTTGGGTTGACTCAGTTTTGTAATCGTATCACATTAGTGTTGGTATCGATGTAACTGTGCTTATTATGTCTTTGTTAGGTTGGACTGTGCTGAAAGAATATATCTAGATCATATATTTCTGTCTAGCAAAAATTATCACAAGAGAATGTATCGAGCGACGTATTTACGAGGCAGTGATATGCACGCTGTCTCCTCCTTTAGCTTGACTTCACGAGTCTGCAGTCTTTGTTTCCTAGCAGAGATAAGTGGAGGCATCCTCCTCTGTTGCGCTTTTCTGGATGTGTGTTGTACCTGCTATGAGATAGTTTGTACTAATAAAAACGGGATTGTTGTTCTATGCCAACCTCTCTGAGTCGATCTGACTTGTCAGTCACACCTCTGTCAGCTACGCGTCTCCTACCCGGCTCAGGGTGTCCTTGTGAGTCAGTGTTTATACAGTACAGGTGGTAAAAAGCATCCCACCCTCAAGATCGCTATGCAATGCTGCATTTAATAATAATGTTACATATTTCAAAGGCAGAAAGACAAAGGCTTTCTTCAGCGGGATCCATGCTGTAACTGCAGCCAGCCATTTGTAACGAGAGAACGCGCCGGGCTAAAGCCAGGAGATCCAAAATTAAATTGCAGGCCGTTGAGAGTGTTGAATGCTGTTAAAACGATGACGGTGTCTGAAATGTCCAAAAAATACTGCAGCTAGCTGGCTGAATCTCCTGTCTGGAATGCATCATACTCATTGCCTGTCTCACACTTTAATTTAGAAATGGATGCCTTCAATTTGCACTCACAACACAATTCATTACTTCAGCAACTTTATTTTGCTGTTCTCTTCTTCAATAAATCTGAGTATTGGTCCATATTCCCAGCCGTTGAAAATGTTATCTGCTTTATTGACATCGATTTACATTTTAAAATATTTATTAGTCTGTGCATTGTGTGTGCATACTTATGACCTTAATATGCACACTGCATCTCCTTCCATGTTTTCTGTTTTCCTCCACGAAAGACAGTCCGGGTTTTCATTCCAGCCGTTAAGAATTAGGAGTGATTCGCCTATGGTGCTGAGAGCTGTAGGGGAAATTTCCAGAAAAAGGATATGGCTTCCTGCAGTGACTCGTGATATTTCAGGAACTTGACAATAAGCAGCAATTAATAAATTCTCATCCAGAGCCTCATCAACATAGCGAGGCAACATCATGCCTCTCTACTGTGAGGGATACACTGGTGTGTAAACTAAAATTCTAGAGAAGCAATATTTTATCATATACTTCATATGAATGTCTTATATTTATATAATATATTTGGTAACATTTTAACAATATATAATAATTATACTGACCATTATAATGTATTATGAAGGTATCCATAGTGCATTATTGATTAGAGTTTCATTGACCATTCGTAATTCATAATAAACATGGTTATAATGTGTTAAGCCTTTTTATAAGTCGTTATAGCCATGTCTATGAAGTTTATGAAGGTATTATGATGACTGCTTTATAAGTAAAGTGTTACGAAATATTTTATTAATATGAATAATACATTGAAAATGATTGTCCTTCTTTTGTTCAATTTAAAAAATGTGGTCCTTTTTTGGATCATAAGAAATAAATACATTTTCTAGATGTCAAGCTAAAAACCATGATATTATTCCCTGTTAAGGTGGGTGTTTTTTTCCCTTTGAACAGTTAGCAGTGGGTTCCTAGCAACTTTTTTGTTGATTCCATTAAGGGTGTTTTTTGTAACTCACTGCCTTGCCAACTTTTCCTCCTGCCTGACTGATTAGCGTACATCGAATTGGGAAGTGAATAGATGGAATGTATTTGAAAACTGAATATTCATTTTTAATTGGCAGTCAAACAGAACAGACTGAAGGCAGGAGGTGTTGGATTGAATGGCTGCATGATTGTGAGCAAAAAATTACTAGAAAATCGAAAGCAATTTCATATCAGTGATGCATGTTTTAGCATGTTTTACCATCCCAATGGTCATTACTCCCTTCATGGGTGTGGTTTGCAGGGGGGGCGCTGGAGATTTTGCGCCCCATGAAGGCATATCATATCTCCCCCCCCCCCAACTCAGACTGATACAATTATACTTTTTATTATGCTAAATTTTTTTGACCCTTGGAATCACCCTAATCCCCCCCTTTTACAGCACTTGGTGCTGTATATATGGTATGTATAATATATATGGACAACCTCCACGTTCTCCTTAAAAGATCTCTTTACAGGGACAATATCTGAAGGAGACGCCCTCATTCCGATGTTTGAGACATTCACAAAATAAACAAATAAATAAATAAAAGACTGGCATGGTGCTGTAAATTGTCTGTAGTATGTCTGTGTGTACTAGGTTTATATTACATTGTGGGGACCAAATGTCCCGCACAATGTAACAAAAACCTATATTTTGACATTGTGGGGACCATTTTTCAGGTCCCCACAAATATCTGTGAATGCAAACAAAAAAGTAAAAATGGCAAAAGTCTCATATTTTGTTTGGTTAGTTATGGTTAAGGTTAAGGCTGGGTAGGGGTTAAGGTTGTCATGCTGTGATTGTAGTTTTCCCCATAGATATAATTACAAACCTGTGTGTGTGTGTGTGTCTGTGTGTGTGTGTGTGTGTGTGTGGTCCAGGTATACCTTA